TTGTGCTTAATGCACTTTAATTGTGCTGAAGTAGTGCTTATAGTATGTACTTCGTATATTTGGTTGTGCTAAAGTGGAACTATTGCAAGTTTACTTTAGGTACACTTTAAATATCTCACATTTAAAGGCCGATATTATTCAGAGATCATACAATCCTCATCGATAGTGACATTTAAACACATTTTAGGCTTAATATTGAAAAATGTGCATTGTGATGATTTTCTAAATTCTAATTTTTACATCAGTAAGTCTCGAGCGATATGTCAGTAAATATGGTAACGGAATTGAACTATACTTAGTATGAAATAAATGTATTTTCAATATATTACTTTTTTACTAGGGTTCATTTACCGATTCTTTGTAATTCTTTGTTTCAAATTGAATCCTACACAGAGTTACTTGAAGTACTTTGTTCTTGATTCATCATTCAGTGAACAATATGTATCATATAAGGCATAATCCACGGCTAGCTGTGCATTAATTACACAGTTTAATTCATGATGTGGAGGCAAAGAACTTGCGTTGGCCCCCTGGACAGATGAGATGCTAGTTAGTGCCCTATGTAGTCTGCATAGTGTGCACTGCATATGGTGCGGCACTACTGTGCACAAGTGTGTCTTTGTGTGAGAGTAACAGGGAGGATCACACTGGAGTCAGAGCATGCAAACCTTTCTTTAGACACTGCAAAGCATCTGAATGTTGCGTCTGAAAGAAACTCCCACAAATGCATAAAATCACTGCATCCACGCCTTTTAATCACTACTGTTCATAAAGCATCATGAAGCAGTCGGAGGTCATAGCGGAGGACTCGTCTTTGTAGGTCACTGCGTCACAGCTTTCTCTCAAACGGGCCAATAAACACACACATGTGTCGCTGTCAATCAACACACATTCCCTCTCTTCCTCACAGGACGAATGCCATGCTCCTGAACAAACACAACAGCAAATAAAACCCATCTGGATCTTTCAGCACAGATTCTGGGGAAGAACTCAAGGCCCACGGCTGGTTTCAGTGTTTCACTGCATTACGCTTATTTCAGGTTTCAGACACTCAAATCCATAGACTGCTTTCATAGCTTGTAAAAAAAATACACACTGGTGTCTCTGGAAGTGGCAATAATGAGCAAAAAAATAACCCTTCAAACTAAATGTAACGACTTGTTTTATTCTCGTTAATCAAAGATTCTGTAGGTCACTAAAATGACTCTGTTCTTCTCATGTTGTTTAGGGAAAAGTGCAGAAATGGCTTTGGAGCTGCCCATCGCCCGCTAAACCGTACAACCAGCTAGCATGATCATTAGAGAAGTATTTACAACACAGTTTACACATACACTTCACATCTAGTTCAGAATATTTTAAAAACAGGACGGTGATACACCAGTCATCCAGCGTCACACGTCGATGCGTTATATCTGTAATGCTGCTTCAAAAGCTAGCATGTTGAAACAGACTTCTGAGGCATAAAGACATGGAGTTTGTTAGAGTCATCGACCAAACCCTAACCAGATTTTACACCAGCTACGGGCAGGTTAACAACTGGAGATCATCAGCTGAGAGGAAGACGAGATCTGCTGCGCCGCCGAAGCATGTCAGATTTTCTCAGCTACTTATTTTTGTCTCTCAGAAACATTGGTCTGTGACAAACCCTGTAATTATGAAGGGAATAATGCTGTTTTTATTGCAAACAGATGGAGCATCAGACCGCTCTCCTTAACAAACAGATGCATAATACGATAATCATACAGGAACAGACTTCATACAAGAGACACACTGCTGCATACAAGAGCTGGCAAATAACATCACTGCACACACACACACACACACACACACACACACTC